ACCGAGACAGAGGGAAAGACAGAGAAAGACAGCTTCCATCCTTGGTTCCTTCTCCAAATAGCCACAGTGGATCAGGCTTGAAGCCAGAAGTAAGGAACTCTATCCATGTCACCTACGTAGATGGCAGAAGCCCAAGCATTTGGGCCATCTTTTGCTGCTTTTCCAGGAGCATCAGCAGGAAGTAGGAGGGGAAGCAGAGTAGCCAGGACTCAAAGTAGCGCTCTGCTAGAGAGTGTTGGTATTGTAGGCAGTGCCTTAACTCACTGTACAACAATGCCACACCCTGTGATATCTTTTATTCTATCCCAGTCCCTTGACAATGACTTGGTACAACTAAAACAAAAGAGAAAGAAAATACAACAAACAGGAAAAAAAAAAAAAAAAGACCCCAGATGGGAATTTAGGTTGAGAATAAACTGTTTCAAGTTGGATCACTTGATGGAATATTCTACCAGATACCAAGCTCCAGGTTCCAACAACTCCACTGGAAAGAGTGTGGGAAGTGGAGGCAGAGGATAGAGCAGGCAGAGATGGAGGCATGGGGAAGATAGTGTAAGAAGAGAGGAATGGAACAAACAATCCAAATCACAGTTAAAGAAAAAAGAAATGCATATCTGGCATAAGGAATAGCTGAGGATCAAAGACTAAGCTTCTGATTTGCGAGGTTTAGAGTCTGCTTTTTCAGCCCAAAGCCACAGGGTGAATTTGGATGGTGGGAAAGATGATTACAGCTGTGCTCGAATGAGCAGTTGCTTTGGTGATACCCCCTTCTTGCAGGCTTCACTCACATCGATTTTATTACAGGGGCTGACTGATAATATGCCAAGCCCACACATCTGTCTTGGGGAGACAATCACAGGAAAGCAACATTTCAGTTTAAAGGATAGAAATTCAACTTTGATTTCCGCAACCAACACCACATCATAGGAATCCCACAATTGCTACCCGGTAGAACAAGCAGTGCTGGCTATAAACGGAGACGTTCCCCTGGCCATGGTGGCCTCAGCTTGAGAAGGAGGCAGGCAGTGTGTCATCTAGTCTAGGATCTGCAGACACTCAGCCTTTCCTTCCCAGCTAACTGCCACAGAAGAAGTTCCCATTTTTGGATCCTTGCAGGTTGCTAGTTTCTGTAGGTCTGACACCCTGGCGGGAGGGACAACATAATACTCTGGCACCTTTAAGTCTTCATTTGTTGTATTGTAAATCAGCTTTATTTACTGCAGACCGGAGTTTCTTTTCTTTATATTCTAATTTATTTGCATTGTATTTGTATGACAGAGAGGTGTTCCATGTAATGGTGCAATTCACCAAATGCCTGCAACGCCCTGGGCTAGGTCAGACCCAAGCCAGGAGCCTGGAATTTAAGTTGGCTCTAATGTGGATGGCAGGGATCCAAGTATGTGGATCATCATCTGGCACCTCTCAGGGTATGCATGAGCTGGATGCTGCATCAGAAGTGGAGCCAGGACTCAAACCAGGCACTCCGGTATGGGATGTGGGCAAACCAAGCAGTGACTTAGCCAAAGCTGTCAAAGATGCATGCACACAGATGATTTCAACAACTCAGGGGGTCTCCTTTGATTTTGATAGTGTAGTTTGAAGTCAGTTTTGTACAAGGATCTCAAGACTCAGTGGTGTTATCATTTGGTGTCTTTAAGCCAGAGAAGGAATTTGTATTCATAGAATCTACATCTGTCATCACCTCCCTACCAGAGCCTCAATCATAATAAATTCTTATTAAAACTTTGGAAGAAAAAAGAAAAAAAGGAAAGTGGAATTACAAATTAAGACCATAGGGGAGGGCTGAATTAGCGTATATTAGAAGTTGAGCTGGCAGCTAGGTATCAGTCTTCACTGTTTCTGCCTTTAGGGAGTTTAGCGAATATGCTTTTGTGGTGTAATTTATAAGGAAATTGGTTTTACTCAAAAGGACGTTGTTGCATTCTGTCTTGCGGCACCATGAGTGCTTAAAAAAAAAGAAGAAGAAAGTAATTCCATTAAGCTTTCAATTTTCTCTGGCAAGAGAAATGAACTAGATGTGATTGGGAAGATAAGGCACTGGCCTTTACTTGAACTGACCTTGCTCCAGGGGTCGGGGAATAAGAAGCATGGCCTTTGTTCCAGAGATGTCATTTCATGTTTAATTAGAGGGCTGGAGTGCCATTCTTCCCCCTGTGTAATTCCCAGCTTCAATGTGCTGAGAAAATGTCCAGTGAGCTCACAGTAAGCAAATCATCTGATCACTATCCTAACAGCTTTGAGAGCCATGTGTTCATTTTACGTGATCCTTCCACGACCAAAGATCATAGAGAACACTAAAATCAAGACATACACAAAAGAGATGGAGACACTATTTGAAATTAAACAAATCATATCTACTTAAGATGCTTTCACACATCTAGTAAGTTTGTGACACATTCAAATTCTGTAGTCATTAATTTATCAACTGGCACCTCCAAATGAGCAGCTGGTTACCATATGGCAAGGCTGTGGTTTTGTTTTGTTTTGTTTTGTTTTGGCGAACACTTAACAAAAAGTTTTATGGGGCTAATGTTTGGCACGCAGGTTAAGACCCAAATCCCACATCTGAGTGCTTGGGGATTGGTCCCAGCTCTGCTCTTGATTCCAGCTTCCTGTTAATGCACACTGGGAGGCAGCAGTAACAGTTAAGTAACTGAGTTTTTGCCACCCATAGTTCTGGATTGAGTCCTACTGCCTGACTTCAGTTCCCTGGCTACTGTGGGTACCTGGGGAGTGGACCAGTAGATGGGAGCTCTCTCTTTCATAAACCATATTGCAATGCATTTGGTAATGCTATTTTACAGTTAATGAATAAATACATGTGGAAGACAAATGCTTAACATAGACGAAGTAAAAGTATTTGTAATATTGATATAGCATACCTCTCATTTTACCAATACGATGATTTCAAGGTTTTTTTTTTTTTGATTGTTCAATTTTATAGTAGAAAAACAACATTTAACTGTGCTTAAGGTACATTCTCACTAGGAGGAGGTAAAATATTTAACACATCTAAATTTCATTTTGGATGAGTTCTCAGCTTGTATTGTGCTTAAGACATCAGACAACAGTGACTTCGTCCCAAGGGGTTTATTTATCCTCACATAAATCACAGGTAGAGATGAGACATTTGGGCTGGGATGAAGGCTTCCAGTGTATCACAATCTCAGATTCCATTTTAATCACTTTAGCAGTACTATGGCTCATCTTGAGGATTGCTTTATGGCTTGTATTGTAAGTGCTTTTAATTTTTTTCTTTTGCATATTATGATGCTTTGAAATTTCTAAAATCCTTTATGAGAAGAGATTGCTCCTCTGGGAGTCAGCTAATGCTTAAAGATAACCAAGAGCACATCTTTGATACGCAAACTCCAGATTTAGAAAAGTCTTCTTATTCCCCTTGTTTTTTTTTCTAGAATTTTTATAAGGATACAGACCTCGAAAGATTCAATTCGAAAGACCTCATGGGACCAAATTTCCTATGATAGATGTAAACACTATCAATGGCAGCTGATTCATTAATTACTGACTGGGATAATTCCATTTTCTGGAAACTTCTTAGGCTTCAATAACAATATTGAGTGGAAGATTAATGCCAACTCTATGTCTCTTCAACATGGGATGGGGAGTTTGGATCAAGGTAGTCCCTTAAGAATTTGAACAGGGTGAAATCTACGTGGTGTTTTTGAAATGGAAATCTAAACAGTTAAATCAGGAAGTTATCAGCAGGAAACAAAGGGAATCAAAGGAATGCTTATTTGTAAACCTGAGAGGGGTATTCTAAAACTTACTGCTCACACTAGCTGGTTACCACTCAAACAGCTCCTTCCCGCCACTGGTGATAATTACCAGGAGCAGAGTGAAGGCCACCAGCATAACCCACGACAGCTGAGTCACAGGAGTGAGGGTTACACCCCTTTGCTAAGCCTATACACTGGCTTCACCCCTTGCATAAACATCCTCTTGTTTATTTTAGTAGATTGGCAAATTCTTTTTCTTGGAAAGAAGTAATTTCAGTAGGATGCTACTATGATAAGGTCACAGTTTAACTGGCTCAAAATACACTTTAAAAAATCTCACATGGATACACATAAGGAATTACTCAAGCATCCACCAAATGTTCTTTCCAAATTGAATTGCAACATTTACAGTTCTGTGTTAATACTCATCCAAAAGTCTAGGGGTATGTAAACACTACCCTTTCACCAAAGGAATAGAAAATTGAATGCACAGCAGTTGAAAACATAGCATTAATTTGTTCCTTCTAAATCTATGAAGTCCAGGAAGGGATGATAGCATATACTCTAGAGAATGAAAAGTCTGAAACCAGAGATGAATTTAATGCCAAATATTAAAATGGCACTCTTCGTCTCCTCTGTTGACCACCTTCACCCACGAGGGTAGACAGAATGGGTGAACAGAAGGAAACAAATAAATTCACTTGCCTGATGACTCTGGGAAAACTAATAAAACAGCCTGGAATTCCTGATCTTTAACTTCAACCAGTAATTTGATAGGAACCAAAAGCTAACAAGAAAATGTCCTAATATGACTTACTTGGTCTTTCATTTCATGGAAGATTAAACTAATGATGGCCCTAACAACTGGTTCTCAAGTGACACAGAGACCTACTGGTGACCAACCTGGTTTGCATGGGTCTGCTATTCTTCTGTGGATAAGCCAACCTCTTTGCTCTCATCTGATTATTTTAGTAACCCCAAAGAAAGAGGGATCAAAAAGGCTAAACGGTACCTTGTACGACTCCATAGACGCTTTTAAGAAGACAGTAGGTTTCTTGGGAAACCAAAGTCACTTTCGCTAGCTGGAGAGGTTAAATTTATCACAATCATCATGTTTATTCCTGCAGATATCTTCTGTCTGTGGTGTAGGCAAAGCATTTTTACGAAGAAGAAATTAAGTCAAATATGTCCTAGGTTAAAAAAATGCAAAGTTTCAAGGACTAACACAAGAAACACATAAAGGTTGAACATCAAAGTTTAATTTTGAAATCTTTTATCCAGTCCTCAAATTATTAACATGAAAAGGAATGATAAATTGCAATTTTATCATTACCACATCACCATGTAACAAGCCCTTGTTACAAAATCTCCATCTACTGTCTCCAAAAAAACCAATAGAAAACCCATACTTTAATTACCTAATGAATATTAACAGATGAAATTTTAACCCACTTTATACCAGGAAACTATTAACAGAGGTACTTCAATCACATAGCTTAAAATATGGAGAAAAGACAGGTAAAAAATTATCTTAACCTGTAGTAGTCTTTTCACTTTTTAAAATTTTTATAAAATACACTAATTTCCCAAAATAAAGAATATTATGACACATTGGTGTCAACTTACACAGATGAAAGCTGATGTCAGCTTTTTTTTCTAAAGTTCATTTCATCAACCCTTTGTATATTACATGGATATTGAAGTTTAAAACAAAATTTAACACACAGGAACATAATGTACAGTGTTTTATAAAAAAAAGTTACTTTTGGAATGATTTCTTTTTCAACCACATAATGCATTTCTTTAAGACCATGAAACATTTTCCTACTACAAGATGACTTCAATTCATGTTTCCATTTCCCAGTTTTGATTCTTAAAAGTGTAAAAAAAATAGGTTATTTATTTCCCATGAGAAAACTGTGCTAACAACCTTATTCCTTATGAGGCTGTCTCCCCTTCTTTTATTTGCAGAACTACCCAAACCCACAATTGCATGGCACTGTAATGAAATCGGCGGGAGAGCCCATGACATCAAAGAGCAGATATAAAAAGACGGGCTCAGCTGGGTCCTGCCACAATTATGAGGTATGGGCACATTCACTTCTGCCAAGCCTTCCAGAGTTGCCCCAGAGCATTCATAGGAGCATCCCCTGGAAAAGCTCATGTTTCACATTACTGCGCTGGGAGGACAGGAAGGAGCATTGTTGCTAATGACTTGTGTAATGGCTACTGGATACCTTTGCTTAAGAAGGAACAAGTGCACTCAGGAGACACTGGTCCACTGGTTTTGTGGGTAGAGAAGAGAATACTGTTCATCTTACATCTCCTATGTCGGTCAATTCTGAGTGCAAACAAATTGCAACAGGAAACTGCAACGACATATACACACCATGCACAGTCTATATCACTGTGGGACGCCAGCAACACATGCAACACGGTGGGGGAAAGAATCACAACGGATAAATGGAAACTTTTCACAGTGTTTCTTACAGCCTTTGACTTTTAACACAAGTGTATCACTTACCACCACTATATCTCACAAACATTTTATTGTGTCCTGGACATGCAGATCATTTTGGGTAAAATGGGAAATCACATTTCAAAGCCATTTTCAGACAATGAGTACAACTTCCGTTCTCCCTACTTTCCAACCAATGGATTGAACTGCTTCTGTTATGAAAGTAAATACATTTAGTCTGAATATATTTATGAATACATTTTTATTCAAAGGTTGTGCTTTATTCTTCCTCACATTTCACTGATTTTACTCCAGGGAAATTAAAATACCGCACAATTAAACTGAGGACGAGGTCTTAAGGTGACTCCTGACCAAACTACAAAGGCAGAGATTCACTAACCTTGGTCAAGTCGGCCTTCCCATTCCAGGCTTTTACTGATACTAATTCAGCTGTATATTTGGGTTCTCTGGGAGGAAAATCAAATCAGAGAGCTGGCATTTCCATGTCAAAGAAGCCAAGTGTAAGAGCAGGGGGTAGGGGCTGGGGATGGGAAGATGCATCCTCTGTCAAAGCATCTCTTGTTCTCAACAGGAGATAATCCAGCTTCTCCTTAGCTATCACTTCATAAATTAATAATTTCTTAAAATCATAATCCAAAGAACTTATCTATTACAAGAAAATTTCAAGTTTTTTTTTAAAAAGCAAATAAATTAGTTAAGCCTTGTAAACAATTGTCCATTTTAGTTATATATCTTTAGAAAACAAATAAACAAAAAAGAAGGTTTTTCTGTATGGTACAAGACAATACAAGGCACACCTTCCACATCAGAATGCAGAGTGCTGGAGCCCACGCAGACACCTTTGCTCTGCTTACTGGTCTAAGCGTGCAGGGGTATGGGAGCTGCACACCACCCCTTCGCTCAGCTCCTGGTCATCTGGAAGTTCATAGATGTGCTCTTTCCATTAAATTGCTTTGTGCTCTTTAGTCATGATGTGACGTGATGCCTTCTCAGTGTTGGTCTCCTCAGATGTTTTCCACAAAGCTTCCTGGGAAAAGACCAGTTTTCCCATTACGTTGCAACGTGCCTTTGAACCAGCCATCCTCTCGCTTTTTGTGGACAAACACAATATCTCCTTCTTTAAGTTCAAGTTCTGCCTCACTCTGAGGAGGATAGGAAACCACCACCCTGTGCCTAAAACAAAGAGAGATTTTAGCCAAGTTTGTTTAAAGAAGTGATAGAAAATGATGTATTAATCTGCATAAGTCTTCAATATTAATGATAGAGAAACAGTATGAATTTGTTCATAAGAGTTTATAAAACAATTCAAAATATAACTATTCTAATCAGTACTGAGTTGGTATTAATATAGACATAGTTTGGGAAGTTGACTTTAATGAAGATGGAGATATCAGCCACTATTTCATTTTTAAAGATTTATTCGAAATGCACAGTATTATAGTGAAGAAGAAAGAACTTTTCCATCTGTTGGTTCACTCCCTCAAACCTTCCACCAGCTAGGGTTGGACGAGGCCAAAGCCAGGAGCTTAGGAGCTCCATCAAAGTCTTCCATATGAGCGTCATGTGCCTAAGTATTTAAGACATCATCTGCTGCCTCAGAGGCACATGAGCAGGAAGTTGCATTAGAAGCAGAGGCAGGACTCAGCCCCAGCCACTCACAGGATGCAGGCATTACAAGTGGCAGCTTAAATTACTTTTCAATGCGCCCTTCCTGCTCAGTCCACTGTTGATGACCCATGTTTGCCTGAGTGGTCTTCACAAAACAGCCGTTCTTGCTCCCCTTCCAGTGTTTGTGTCTTGGCCACACAGAAGGGAAGCTCTGCTCTACTTCTCAAGAGGAGAACCATTTGAAATGGAGTTGCCCTCTTTTCTGTGGGAAAAGAGGAGTAGGGGTAGTAATTGAGCCAGTAGATTCAGCCCTACAGCCTAGGTGGGTTCTGCACTGGTCAGTGATCTGGCCTGCCTACTAGAAGCAGGTCTGGGAAGTTAGATCTCTACATCCTTACACTGCAGTTTGATCTGGGAGAGGTAATTATAAAAGAAGCTCATCCATCCAGAAATATTGATTCTCTGTCAGGAAGGTTATTCTAAGGTCAGACAATGGAGGACAGGACAGTAGCCACAAACTCAATCCAGCATCAGCAATGAAGGTGCTATTCTTGCCTCCATTACTCTGATACTCATGTCTGTTTCTCCTTCAGTCTCAGCTCCCGTCATTGGAAAGAGGCATAGTTACCATCTACAAATCCCAGAAGCCTGCTAGTTTAACATTATCTGTTTCTTTAACACCTTTCTCCAAAGATTCCCTATGCAGAACTACAATGAGCAGCCAGAGAAAATGAGAGGTCAATTATTGTATAGGTGTATCTTTTTTAAACTCTATTTTTCCTGCAATATTTCTCTCGTCTATGTCTTTTCTCAGCCAAAGGAAGGAGAAAAAGTAATGTAGGTTGGCAGATCTTTATAATGGGCCCAGTGATTCCTACCACCTACCATTCACTCTATTGTGTAGTCTCCTGTTAGAATCAAGAGGGATGATTTGGCTGACTAATTAAGTATTCCAAACAGTGTGTGGTTCTTGAGGCTAGGCAAAAAAGGGATTGTGGCTTCCACTTTAATTTTTTCTTGCAGTATTTACTCTGGGAAAAACTGACTGCCACTTGGTAAGGAAGATCAATATGCTGAGGAAGAGACTACATGGTAAAGAACCAAGGCGTCTTCCCAAAGTCAAAATCACCCAGCTAACAAAGACACAAAGGAGCCATCCTAGAAGTGGATACCACAGCTACAGTCAAGCCTTGGGCTCAGGCTAACTTGTTGATGGCAGTTGCAAGAATACCTTCAACCACAGTCACCCAGACAAGTTGCTTCCTAATTATTTGATCCACAAAGGTGTGAATTAGTAAATATTTAATATGGTTTCAAGCCACTGGATTTGGGGACAATATGTTACACAGCAGCAGATAATGAATAAAAGCAGAATACCCCTTTCTCTGATGCTAAGTAGTGAGTGTTCAATGAGAGAGGAGATTCTGAGTTCTACTTTGATTTGGTCCTCAAAGTCAGAAACTGAGTTTATTACCTTGTGGGCTCCACTCTAGACTACAAGAAAAGAATGTTAACAGCTTAAAAAAATGATAGTCCAAATAATTTATCCCTGCCTCCAAACTTGTGAAACCCATTAGAGCCTCATTCTTTCACCTATTTCTATTCCATAAAACCAATACTCATAGCAAGAATTCTAAACTATTCATCTATGAAAACACTGCAAGGGCTAAAGTAAATGCTCAAACATCTCCTGAACTTATGGAGACCTGGGGGCCAAATTACTCTCTAAGACTTGAAGCAAAAGCACAGCGCAGAGCCTGGCTTCTCATTTCCCACAAAGGTTCAGCTAATTCAAACATAAGTACTTATTGGCTATAAGGCTTAGGTTCAACCAAGCATGGAACCAGAGAGGAGTCACAGCCTGGCCTGTGGGATGACAAAGTCCTTAAGGTCATGTAAAACAGCTTAACATTGGGCCAGGCATCTCAATTTCTCAGATCTCAATTTCCTCATCTGCAGCCTGTGGCTATAATGAGTCAAACAAGTATTTAAAGCATGCAGTGGAGCAAGATTATGAGGGTAACACTCTTCGTGTGATCTGGAGCCTCAAACTTCTAGGAGAAGGATGTGCCACTCGGGCTGGCTTCTTCTAATCAGGAAATGAACTCAAGTTGGAGTTTCCTGATCAGGAGACTCAGAATGACAATAGCGAGGGCTTTGGAATGTCTTCTCTGACATCCTTAAAAAGGAAAACAAATAATTTCATCATGGACTTATCTGAAGGCAGTGTCCAAATGAGATTTCTCAAGTCTGATACCAATATGCTCAGAATCCGTGTATACAACAATGATGTAACTGCCATTTGGGGCAAGTTACAATTTAAGCAAAGCTTTATAATTCTGGGGAAGAAAGTATATAAATGACTTAAAACATACTCAGAATAGGTTTCTTATAAGATATATTCCCTACTGGTTTTCTGTGAACTGCCTTAAGGGTGAAATGGAGGGAAAAAGTAGTTCCTGAAAAACTTGAACTGAATTAGATTAATATTTGCATTTTATAAAATATACTAAACCAATTTTGTCCATTTTTTTTTAACTTGAAATGCTGCTGGGCTAAGAACATAATCTTCCTGCCAAGTTCCCAGTGGGAGCACATTTTCATTGCTAAGTTATAAACCTCTCGAGGGGGGGTGGAAAGAGAAACCATGTGCATAATGGAAACTGTGACAGTCTCCATCGCATGACGACTACCAGGTGCAGCAGTAACAGTCTACTCAGAAATCTCCTGGTTTTGGTGCTTCCTTGAGCCTCATGAGGTGGGCTGCACAGGGATCCCCAGTGCAGACACGTGAGGCACTGCCAAGTAGAATGATCTCAGACCCACACACAGATGTAGGGCACAGCTGCACGACCCTTCCCATGCACTGCTCTGCCCTCTGCCTTGCTAGGATCATGCTTGTTTTTAGATGAGCAGGGCTTTGGGGGCAGTTCTGAACCTCAGGAGCCAAAGATTTTACTCTCCTGTGACATCATGGTATCCTGCTGCTCCACCTTCAAAAGCTGCACCCTCTTCACTGTCATGGCCACCATCTCGGTTGATGACCTCATGAACTTCCACTTGCACAAATCATCTAGCTGCCTTTTCTTCCTCCAATCTCTCCTGTCCCCCAATACCTTCTGCACAGAACTTGCATATTACTCATCTTACATGGCAGCTCTATTTATGGCTATCTATTACTGAAAAATCAGTGATAGTTTTCCAGTGCCTGTGAGTTAACAGTAATTAACACTAATCCCCATTCTAGAATGCAGAGCCTTCAATGGTCTGGCCTCAATGTCTCTTTAAAGACAGCTCCTATTATCTCCATGTAGGTAGCCTGAACACGTAGTAGAGATGGTTCTGTACTTCCACTTCAATCTGTCTCCAACAATTCCTTCCACTGGGAACCCCCTTTGACAAAATCTCTGCCCATCCATACCCTATCAATCTCTCAATGCCTGGCTTCAATTCTCCACTGTGAAATCCTGTGCCCCGTGGCTGGAAGTAATTTCATGCTTGACTAAATCCCGGAGGCTTCCTTGTATATTTCTTATGGCACTTAGCACAGTCTACATTGTATTATTACCATCTGTGTCCCTTTCTCATTTATTCCACCAGACCATAATCTGTTTGAGGGGTGAGATGATGCTAAATTCACTTTATAGGCCTTTCACCACTAAGCACAGTACATGTGCCGATTCTTAATAAGCATACTGAATGATGAAAAGGTCTCAATGTGGAATAAAACTATTTTCAGAATGCTCAAATTTCCTTAAAAGAAATGAAATTCTGACACATTACAACATAGAAGAACCTTAAAAAACATAGATAGATGGAATTTTTCTGCAAAAGGACAACTGTTACATGATTTTGCTTTTGAGGAACCCAGGATTGCTAATCAGAGAATGATCATTTTGAGGGCTAGAAGGAAAAGTAAAACAGGGAGTTATTGCTTAAGGGGATATACAATTCTGGTTTCTCATGATGAAAAATGTCTGGAAATTGACAATGGTGAATTACTACACAACAATGTGATATACAGGGTACTTCAACAGTTTCATGGGAAAATGGAATTAAAAAATAAGTTTAGGGGTGGGTGTTTGACTCAACAGTTTATGACGTTGGTTAGGATCCCTGCATTCCTCATCAGAGTACATGGCTTCAATGGGAATCCTAGATTGAGTTTTCAGCTCCTGGCACCAGCCCTGGGCCAGCCTAGGTCACTGTAAGCATTTGAGGGGAATGAATCAGTGGAAAGCAATACCCTCTCTCCATCTGTCTGTCTCCTTCTCAAAAAAGCTTGCTTTGGCACAATATTTTTTGAAGTCCATGCATAACATTTTCACAATATGCATTCTCCATGAACTTTAGAAAGACCCCCTTGTCCTTGTAATGTTGCTAAACTTTACACTTGAAAAGATGGCATGTTATATATTCCCCACAATTAAAAAAACAAATGCATAAATCAATACACATAATGGAAATATTAGTAAAAGAGAAAGAAACCCATAGGGCCAACCTGAACCTGTATGGCTTAAATCACCCCTTGTTTCCTCTGAACAAAGTGTGTTGTGGAGTGGCTCACAGACTTGGCCCAGAATGGGTCTGGCTTCCTCGTGGCTCTATGACCTTAATTCAGTCTAAGCTGAGGCTACTAAGATGCAGTTAAATAGAGTCTGTACTGTAAAGAAGCTGTACTGAGAGCCGATCACTCCTTTGGGTTTGGGCTTCGCTATCCTGGCTGTCATCAGAAAGAGCACTTCCACTCTTTTATTAGCACAGACCTTCTGTTGCTTCCTATTTCTGGCCTTGTCTGGTGTTCTTGGTAGTTCACACATTTTCATTTTTAATCTTCCCTGGAATAGCCCCTGTGGGCCCCCTGTGGCTCTGGAAGGCACACTGTCCATCACTGTAGTCTGGGTCAGTAACCATTTGCTGCTTTCTGCCAGTTGCCACAGCAATCTAGTATCCAATTAAGTATTTTACTGGCCAAACCATTCCAGCTCGCTTTGTAGCTTGCTCTCAAAGTTCAAGTAAATTATGCCCATTGCTTTACCCAGTGGGTTCATTGTTACTGACTCAAAGAAATTAATCATGCTAGCTAAGACTGCCTGCCTTTCTGGAAATCTATCTCTATCCAAATTTGTATGTTTCCAAGTATCCAAGTTTAATCCCTGATCAAAGATCAAATATTCTTTTCCAATTTATGAGATCAGCCTATAGATATGTAGTTATCAGTTTAATTCCTAAACTTAAAAATACCTACAGAGATGATTTGCTGTGTCTACCACAACCTTTCATATCTGTTATTTTTAGAAGAAAAAAAAAAAACCCTGCTCACACATACTATATTTGCCATCCTTCCTGAAACATTTTTTTTCTCATTACAATCTTCTTATTTTTTTTCTCAATCTCCCTAAAATAGAGCCTAAAATATTTGTTCTATTATTTCTGCTGTCATCAATTATACATTTTCTGCCTCCAGGACAAAGTGCTATTTCTTGCTTATTTTCTTCAGTCTTTCTGACAAACACAAAAGAATGCCTTTGTTCCTCAGAGGATTCTCACAACGGACACTGAGACCTGTCAGCACACTTCAAGCTTCATTCTTCCTGACTATGGGATTGCTTAAGTCTTTATAGCACGTGAGTGCTGCTTCCCACTGGCAACACTGGCTCTTCAGCACATATATATACATATATATATATGTATATATATATATATGTAATTTTTTTTCACTTTAGGCATCTGGGACAGGATCATGGTTTGAGAGAAAAATCTTAGGCTTGTTCTCATTATAACCTATAAGAATCTTAGCTTCCCGTGGCCGGGTACTATATGTCAAAAATATCTTTATGAAATTCTATCAGTAAGAGCTCTACCAAAGGAAACTTAGGCTTCTGCATTTTTGCTATGGCAAAAGATCTTGATGTTTAATATTGTGAATCACGGACTGTAAGATACTGAAATGTTTTCTGAATCACACAAATGTGGGAGTTTTCCCTTCATCTTTAGCATGGAGCACTTTTTTTAATATGTTCAAATTTTTGAAATATGGAAACAAATAATCTCTAAACTATCTACTTGGTAGGTTTTTATTGACCAAAAACTTTCACTCCAAGTGGTGAGTAAAACATTATCCTATGCTAGCCTCCACATTTTTTTTTTCCTGTTGGTTTTACAGTTAGGCAGACCTGAAAACCCAAGTTGAGTAAATTCTATTATTATCATTATATGAACTCAAAGGGTGGTTGAATGCCAGACAAGCTGGCTATTAGAACAAATGAATAATAAAAATATAAAGTTAGGCAAAATCTTTAAAGAGCCCTTTCCCACATGCAAAAACTGAAATGATTCTATAAAAACCTGTCACAAAATTCCAGAGTGCCCATGCCCATCTGTTCCATCATTAAATTCTCCCCATTTCCTGTGTGATGTGTATCCCTTGCTCCATGAAACACCATCACCTGTCTGCCTTAGCAGAATTCTCCTTATCGGATGCTCTGAACAGCAGGAGCCTGCTGTTGGAAATGAGTTTCTCTACTAAAAACGGGTTGGAATGCAGACGCCACAGAGATTGAGGACATCTGGCAACTGACAAGGAGTGAGAGAGTGAGAGAGAGAGAGAGAGAGAGAGAAAGTGTGTGTGTGTGTGTGTGTGTGTGTAGGGGTGCAGCAGTGCCTCAGCCAGAGCCTATGGAGACGTGGGCAAAGAAAAGAGAACTCTCACTCAAGTCGCACAAATGCCACAAATGACAGGGAGCGCCTTGGGGTTTGAAGGGAAAACTGCAGATCAATGCCTGGAGGGACAGGAGGCCGCTTTGTGACCAAAAGAAAGTAAACAAGACAGGGGACTAAGTCTAGGGAAGGAGGTTGCTAGCCCTGGAAAGCAGAGCAACACTGCAGGAAAGAACCTAACTCAGAATGAAAACCAAGTGAACTCGGCAGGAAGTTGTGGCGCTTTAAGTGCTTGACAGATAGATGGCAGAGAAAACGGAATGATTTCATGCGGAGGGAGGGGACACTTTGTCAGGGCAATGTCTCATTTACAAACTGGGTTTTGTTAAGGATAAGATCTACTGAAAAGTATTACTCCTCACTACAAAAATATTTATAAGAGTTGTACTCTAAACTTAATACGCATTGGCTGATTAAATTTCTTCTTACTCCCCCCTCCGGTTTTTCATAGTCTATTTTCAAGTAAAAAAGTGTCCCACAAAAATCATGGGACTGAGGGGTTCAGAGTTTGGTGGGTTACATCCACAGAGGCTCCGTCTGAAGCACAGAGGTATGTTAAGGTGTTTCAGTGCGTAACAAGCACTTCATAGTCACATTGCACGTACGCAACATGGGAAATGCTACCAAAGTGATGACACTTCCACAAATTTGAGAACTGCTTTGTTTATGAAATGCAGGTACAGAGGAATGAAGCTAACAGAAACAACACAACAGAGGACACTGAAAACAAATGTTCACATATTTATGTTATGTAAAAATAGCCCATTGTTTTCAGCGTACTTTATGTTGTTTTCACATACAATAAACAGATTTTAAGTTTGTATGATGCCAGTAGGTGTTTGTCTTGTGAAATGGATTTTTCTCTCTTGTAACACTCCTAGACAAGTCATTAGCTTTGATCAAACAGAACCTCTCCCCTTCGTAATCAACATTCAAAGGCAGATTCCCTGAAACAGAGCTCACTGCTCTGGGTGTAACTGAACCATGTCATTGGGTCGAAGTAGAGCCAGAACTGAGACCACAAGCTGAGCCACACACTCTCGCCTCAGGAGGAAAAGGACAGAATAGATTTCTCTTGGCTAACAGAATTCCCCAGTGGCTCTGCAACCAACAAATAATGTCAGCCTTTAATAAAAGAGGCAAAGAGGAAAAAATGGGAGTGACTGCTGGCACTGGAATAGAAGTAAGAAGATGGAAATGAAATGAGCCAGGGTCCAGTGACTGACAGAGTTCATCTGGATACAATCCTGGAGTGGCTGAATGGAAAAAAACCGAGAAGAAGGCTGGGCATGTAACCCAGGAAGACACGGGGAGAAAAGGGGAGACGGGAGTGTTGTGGCAAGTCAATATTTGATTATTATTATAAATTCAGTTGCAAGGACTAGGAGAATCTGGAGAAACTAATATCAGGATAGGAATTCCAACACACTCACCTTTCACAAACAATTGGCCTAGACTCATTCATGACAGGACCCAGGGAGGAGCATGCCTGCCGAGGAGGGGGTGCAATGGGGACCGCAGAGTCCAGGGAGCTTGTCTTCCGGTGAAAAGCCTCCTGGGCCAGGGCTGCTCCTACAGCCGACGACCCTGCCACTGGCCCATCCCCATCCAGTGCGCAGGAGCCGGCTCTCCCATGGCCTCCCCCTAGTGGCAGCTCAGGACCCACTGCTCCCTGCAGAGGCAACTCGACGCCCCCAAGCTCCACTTCCATGGTGGGGGATGCTGGAGGGGAAATGCGTGGCTTCCGTTTAGTGGAGGCGCCAGAAAGCAACTTCAGCAATCCCTTCTTTTCTTTCTGAAAAAACAAAAAGCAAAACATCCGTGAAAGGTTGTACTGTACTATACTGTACTGTACCGTGAAAAGCAGCACTACTCTTGTTCTAACCCACTGGGTCCTACGGTTTTCTTTATTTGATCTTTTAAAATAACTTCTGTTGCTATTTGGTTATTCATAACCTGGAAGTTTCTCTTTCCTTCCCCTTTATGTTTAATTCCATTGTTCATTAGCATCTTCCAGTGAGGCAGGGTTAGTAGATGAAAAAAGATGTAAAACTAGGGAGGATATTTAACCTACATGGGCTTGCTACTCTGATTCCAGCTCCCTGCTAATGTGCATCTGCAGACACTGCAGCAATGAGTCCTAGCTCCGGTCTCCTCTTAGGCATTTGGGGAAGTGCAGGCAGCAGGAGATGGGAGTGCAAATTCTCCTGTCTCCTTCTGCCTCTCTGCTTGCCACATAAGTAAATAAAAATCAAACACAAATACAAAAGACATAAAATTAAAAAAAACTCACCAATTTGCATCTGAAGTTTGGCAAAAGAAGACATTTTTGGATAAAATGGAAACCCAAGATTATGGGCTTAATTTCCTGAAATTCTGCCTTTTCTCCCTCTAATTGCTGTAAGAGAGCTGGCTTAGGTATAAACCTGAAGGACTTAACTCTACATTCATAGACGTGAGCTTCTGCTTACAATTAAACACTAAAGCACATCTCACATGTCATACTTTAATTAAATTTTACAAGAAGTGATTGGACAACCACTTCATTGATTAGAAGCCCAGAAACAAGTACACACAATTTTGAGGAAAGTCCAGTATATTCACAAATAGTTTTCTACCTCTTTTTGTAAGCAAATGTACAAACAACCCCATCCCACAGAAGAACCACTTACATTTCTCTCTTGTCTCTCTCCTTAAAGATTTATTTATTTATTTATTTGACAGGCAGAAAGACAGGGAGGGAAAGAGAACTTTCATCTGCTTGTTCACTCTCCAAGCAGCCACAATGTCTGGGATGCACTGTATGGAAACCAGGAACCTAGACCTCTATCTGGGTCTGGAGCCAGTGCTTGGATATGGGAAGCTGGCATTGTGAGCAGTGGCTTAACCCACTGAATCACAACATGCATCTCTCCCCTTTTTGATATTGTCCTTCCTTGCTCTGCTCACTAGGTGTTGAGCTAGCTCACTCTCATTTTCATTCCGATAAGCAATCTTGGCTTTTAAATCATCATTTCAAACTATTTTGCAAAGATGTCAGCAGCATCATTAAGTCTTCTAGATGGAAATACTGCATGAAAAATGAAACATTTCAGACCAAACCCCTTCATTAGAAATCCCACAAACACATTGGAAATACCAAGGCCTCAACACCACAAGGAAATGCAACACTAACGAATTTATCTTGGAAACATGAATTAGTTCAGACTCATAAAATCTCTGCAGGGAAAACAACTCAGTGTCCATAATTACACAGTTCCATTAGAGGCAGAATGGCAGAAAACAAAGGTAGACAGACAATCATCATCAAGGGACAAGCCAGTTACCTAGTGCTAGTCATTTGGGGCTAGAAATGGGAAAGGGGTGACAGGGGCTGGGGACTGTGTGCTCTGGTCATCTTTTCATCTGCTCCACTTGGGCTAGACAGGAACAGAACCTGATAGCCAGTCTCATCCCCTCTCCAGGAAGAGAAAGATCCTATTGTATTTTTTCCTAAATGCCTGAACTCAACTCATTCCATTACCTTTTGACTCACTTACTCAACATCACATGTTCTAAATCCACAGGACAGTTTTCTACCCAATGGCCACCTGGGTAAATACCTGGCAGAGTTGCTACACCCTTCTTATAGGAAGTCAGAGGTCTAAAGGGTCAAGAGATGAGCTGGGAGAGAATCATATCCAGCAGCTCACACATCCTCCAGCTCTTCCAGCTACAGTGCAAGAAAGAACATGCTAATCCCTGGATCCCCCATGGATCAACTGGGCACATCAAGTCCACTGATAAATTACAATCTCAGCAAGCGACAGCTAAAGATATTTTCTCTCAGCTCAATTCTACGCACTCAGTAGAATATCAGATAACTGACTGGTGCTTAGGGAACAGTCTCTAAAGTGATTAAGAAGAACGATGACTTGGTTCATGTAAAATGATTAAACACATTAAACACAGCTTGCTTTAATGACTTCTAAAGGATGGGTTATCATCATCAACCAAGGCTGACAACCCATGGAGCAGAAGGCAGAGGATTAGGGACCCTGGCAGGGTGCAAGGGTAAGGCAGAGGGACGCCATCACAGGGAGGAGACTATTCTAGCTTCAAGGATCTTGCTTTTAATATCACATTCTGATGTTTTCTCCACTAAAGAACAATGCGCCACCTGAGAGAGAGAATTTTGCAAATTCAGGCAGTCACCACCTGAGGGTACCTTTGTTCTTTTTTAAAATGAAAACTATGGATGAGTTAATAAAAACCATACTTAAGCAATTTTAAAAATGTACTGTTAGTACACAGGAAAAAGGGGCAGCTTTTTTAGTATAAATCTTAATAATTCATTCCCTGTGGGTTTTCCAAGAAATGATTCCTAGATAAAATGATTTTATACTCATAATTTTCTCCTCAGAAGATCTGAGGATTTAAAATAGGATCATACATAAAAAAGGAACTATCTAGTCCAAAAAATGAAGATAATAAAAAAGTCATTTTTATATAAAGAATAATTTTAAACATCAACTCAATTCCCTTCTATTAGTCATATAACAGACTATGAGTCCAACAAGGGAAACAGCAAGTCAGAGCTGCTTCCCAGGTGACAGAAAATTTTATTTCAGCAATTCACAGTTAAAAACACTCTATTTATTCAGTATTTTCTCTCTATTGCTCTTTGCTCTCAAACATATATTCTAATTAGCAAAAATAAAAAGATAAAACAAAATAAAAATTAGTGTTTTGGGTTATAGTCACCACCAATCTACATAGCCAGGTTCCCAATAATGTTTTATTGTTCATAGGTAAAGAACCTCAAAACATTAATTCATGAGATACTGTAATAATAATCACTCATACTTGGGACAAATATTTACAGAGTGTCTAATGTGTACCAGGCAACTCATTAGGTTCCAGGAATATAATCGTGAATAAGAGAACAAGCAGCTCACATTGTCTGACAATCACAGCCGTAAAAAAAAAATAAGCAGAGTAGTGGGAAGAGAGAATAAGGAAACCCCAGAGCTATGTAAACTTCTAGAGGCAGTTAACTACCACTAGGTTCAAGAATCTTGTCTGATATTTTTGCAAGGATTTATTCCTCACAGCAACGTGATGAAGTAAGCATCAGTTGTTATTCTTATTTGTTAAAGGTCTGTAGGCTTGCCTAAAATGACACTGCTGGTAGGAGGTGGAGGTGAGATCTGAAGGAAGCCCACACTATCCCCTTCTGTAAGGTCGGCACGTATAGAAAGCAACACATCTGTGGTGCAGAGGAGCACGGATGGCCACCTAAGGATGCAGCTCACAAAGGCCACTTGCCCACTGAGCAAGACAGGTCTGCTGGCCACATAACAAGAGGGGTCTCTTGTCCTTCAGAAAGGTGAAACACATTCCTGTTTCTTACAGCAAGGTAAGAACTGGGAAGGAAGGAAAGCCATCTGAACAAAGAAAATGGTCCGTAGACGCTTTGGGAAGAGTGTTCAGAGCAGAAAAAAATGAACATTTAAGAACTGGATAAGACTTTCTGCTTAAGAAAGCAAGAACAGTAGAATAGACTATGAGGCATGAATGGACAGATTCAAAAGTGACTGGCTCCTTGAAGGACAGTGCCATCAGGAATTTGGGGTTAGGGAGGTTGGAGGTACCAAATGTTGACCTTTCTTGGCCCATTTTCTCTTTCAGAAACATATCCAGGATATGTTAAGTAGGGGCAGAACTGGTAGCATGTGTGGTACCCAGCAGGACACTAGAGGTGGTACTTCTCTCTCTTTTCAAGATTGACTTATTTATTTGGATGGCACAGTTGACAAGAGACAGGAGGCAACACAGATATGAGGTTAGACAAATGTGCAGATAAAGCTGCTGAAGTGGTGACAGTGAAAGGTATCAGAGGTCTCCTAGAGAGAATAACCATGGTAGAAAGGCCCAAGATTTCAAACAAGAAATAACTGAAATGATGTTTGGAAATTCCATTTCAGATGCTTATTTGTCAAACACAGAATACAGGTGCCCAAGTTAGCCAGAGATTTAACTTAGAAACAGAAGCTCAGCTTTCAGAGGTCCCTCAGACTTTGTGAAACAAGACTTTTAAAAACATGGTTCCAAAGAAATTGCTCTGTGAGGAGAGGAGATGCAGTAGTCCTGTGTGTTCACTGAAAAGTGACCCGCCTCTGTGGTATGCCAGAAGTACCCCACTGCAGAATATTTGGGTTCTGAAAAAAGGAGAGTACAACAGACATGTTGCCATTTGGGGGATATTTCATGCATTGCCTAGTGGGATTAAGTGAATGGATGATGATAATCACAAAATGTTGAGGAAAGACAGAAATAGTGAGGGCACTGACAAATAAGTATAGACAGTTGCTGGAAGTCTTGACTGAAACTACAATTTCTATACCATTTTGGTTAATCTTGGAAAATTGAGCAAGCTAAATTTTGACCTAATTTTTTTAAAGACTTATTTATTTGGAAGGTAGGGCTATACACACACACAGAATTTTCCATCCTCTAGTTAATGTTCCAAATGACCTAAACAGTCAGGTTGGACCAGGAACCAGGAGCTTCATCTGGATATTCCCCCTGAGTAGTAAAGGCCCAAGCAATTGGGCCATCTTCAACTGCTTTCCCAGGCACATTAGCAGGAACTGTGTTGGAAGTGGAGCAGCCAGAACACCAATGGCATCCATACAGGATGCTATGATTGCAAGTGGTGCCGCTACTGGTTATTCCACATTGCTGGCCCTTCTGGATCTAATTCTGATCAAGCAGGGGGAAGACAAAGACCAAGCAGGTAGTAGATACATTCTCATGGAAAAGCAGAAACACAATGAGCTCGGAAGAAAGTATCCAAAGAAAAGCTGGGTAGTCATGTGTGAATTCTAAAGTTTGAGAGGACAGATTATAAAAGTGTGCATGATGTGAAATTCAAAGAGGGATATGCTTCAAGAGGAATGGAAAGGCGCTCAAAAATGACATTCTATGCACACAATTGCAAATTTTCCCTGCAGATGACACGTATGGGAGGGTGAAGTTCTGATTTGCTCTCTCAGTGAGCAGCCTAATGGGCAGCAAGTACAAAGGATCAAGAGAAAGGCCCTAACAAAGACATAACACAGCCTATACAATTAATAAAGAAGGAATGATCAGAATGAGCTTAAACTTGCAAAAATGCTAAGGATGAAAACATTTTTAAAGGGCTGTTTGAGAGTTGTATTTGAAACATGAACAAATAGATAAGAGATCTGCTATCTGGGGTGGGTGGTCATTCTCAGAGGACAAGAAGAAAAGGAAAGCAACAAACCTTGATCAGGCAGAAATGGGTGAAGAGATTGGGACTAGAATAAAGGACTATGTGACATGCTGAATTCACTCCAGTGCAGAGAGAAAGCTACCAGTTGAAACACAACATTAATCTTTGAGAAATTTTGGTGAACAAAGGACCAAGGTGAACTCAATCAGCAAAGATGGAATGTTAATCCCAATTTTCTTTTTCTTTCTTTTTTCTTCAAAGATTTATTTATTTTTATTTGAAAGGTAGAGTTACAAACACAAAGAAAGGTTTAGAGGGAGAGGGAGGGAAAAGAGAGAGAGAGAATGCGAGAAAACTTCCATCTACTGGTTTACTCCCCCACAAAGTTCAGAACTGAACTGAGCTGATCCAAAACCAGGAACCAGAAGCTTCTTCCAGGTCTCCCACATGGGTGTAGGGGCCCACAAACTTTAGTCTGTTGCTTTCCCAGACCATAAGCAGAGAGCTGGATTGCAAGTGAAGCAGCCGGAACTTAAACTGGCACCCAAATGGGATGCTGGTGCCAAAGGTGGACGCCTAGACTACTATGTGTGGCACCAGCCCCAGTTTGAATTTTTGAAAAGACAAAAGTGCATTTTGTAGTTAATTATAAACACTGAAGAGATACGAATCTTTTTTTAAAAGTCTTATGTTACCCCAGCAATTAAATATTAACTTTTAAGTAGGTTGTAAAGTTTATTTCCTTATAAACTGCTGTTTACAGGCTCAGCTAAGCATTTAAACACACAGGCGCACATATTAGCACTGAATCAGGTGGCTAAGAGTTTATGATTACCCTAGGGCTTCCCGGAACTGGTCTAGAGATTTAGGGTAAACATATGAAACATTAAGAACAAGTCATGGTTACAATACTGTCATCCAGATCTTGTCATCAACTCCTTCTGTTCATGTCTAATCTCTATCAATTTGCTTTGCCTCTAGCCACCAATGTTTGAGACATAGTTCCAAATGAGATTTAAAAAAACTATGATTTTAAACATAATTCTTCCTAATACTTTTTCAAGTCCTCTCTCACTAACTAGACTGACCATAGTTAGATATAAAGAGATCCACAAATAACACATTTGATCTGCAATATCAACCTCTTCATAGATTAGATGAAAAAAAATTGAATTGTTAACCAGCAAGATTAAAAGAACAGGAAGAACTGAGGATAGCAAAATGAAGAAAGGATGAGCTGCTAGGCCTCCAGGAGGCTGGCAGCTGCATGAGGAGTGACAAAGCATTACTCACTGAGGTGTCCTGCACACTCAACTCAGGACCTGGCAACTAGGGGGTGTTTTTCTTGTGGAGAACAAGTGATGTGAAGAGGAGGACAGGGTGGAGCCTGGATTTCTGCCCCACAATATCCCTAGCACCTGGCACCTCAACTCAATCACACTGAGTGCCTCAAGGACTGGGGAACAATGAGCCCTTTCACCTGCTGGAGGCCGTGGGACACAACCCAAGCAGACAAACAGGAAACTGGCCTTACTTTATTATCCTTGTCTGGTTTGGTGGTTGAACTGTTCCCACAAGCTGATACGGCACTGTCAGGAGATGTGGGAAGACCAGGGAGGATGGTCACTGTCCGGCCACCGGGTTCCGTCTCCAGTGAGGCAGCGCTGAGGCTTGGGGAGGTCAGTGAAGTGGTTGCTGCACAGGCCAGGGGTGCACTGGTCCGACTGATGCTGACAGCAGAGATGTGGGCCGTAGAGGCTACCATGGGAGGTGGAGCTTGTGGGGAGGCCAATGAATGATGGGACAGGCCCACAGATGCAGGGCCAAGACAGCCTGCATTCTGTACCTGGATGGGCGTCACTGCTGCCGTAGGGCGTTCTTGGTTGTGTGCTGCAACTAGTAGGGAACACAACAAAAGTCAATTTCCTGATAAATGTTAATCACCCAATGACATAAGTCATTCCACTGCAATGGACTGATACTAAAAGGCTACTACTACATCTATTACAACAAAGAAAAGATGTATAGTGGTTCACAATCTGGTGGAGTAACTAGAGATGCTTTTTTCAGGCCAATGCTTGAATCTATGAGTGCCTAGAAGCTCAGGTATAACCCCCACAACCCTGAATTTACAGAGAAAGCCTTTCCATAGCATAAGAGATGCTAAGCCATTTTCTGATTTTGTTTCACAGTGCCAATCCATGGTGGCCTCCCATCCTTTTTCTTACGAATCTATTTTCTTAATAACTATTTTCCTTTTTTGGGTTGTTCTTATTATCCAGTTCATAAGTTTTTAACATACAGTTTGCCCACCTTAGCAGGTTTTCAACAGTATATATCAAGAAAGCTACTCAAGATCCCACTGGGTATAAAATAGACAAATGGCTATATTCACGAAAAACAATCAGTGCACCCTTTAGCAGAGGATCACACAGCGGTCATAAAGCTAGCAGCAGTGAGATCTGAGATCATGAGGCCGTATGACTCAAAGTCATAGTTTCAAGGACTACAAACATTTTAAAGGTCATTCTAATGTCTCTCAAAGTCCAATTCTACACAAACCAGATTCTGATTCATATGCAGGACAACTGTATGCCAAATGCACTCAGGCACCGATTGCGTTGTGTTTACTTCTTAAGGCTATCACATCATGATAATACATCTCTTTTCCTCAACAGCTGCCATCGAAGATCTGATATTCGGAGATAAGCACTTTTCCAGATGTGTTGCAGCATGATTTCCTTCCTCACCTGTCCTCACCGCGTTGCGGGCCTGGTTGACAGTCATCTGCCCGGTCATGTGCAGCAAGACCTTAGCCTGAGGACTCGTCTGGATGTGAGCTGCTGACACCACTGCTGTGGGTACAACACTGGGATTCCCAGCCACACCATTTCCCTGGAGCTTCTGAACAGGCCCACCTGCAGTGGAAGGACTGACCATGGTTGCCCCCCGATTCATCTGACCAGCAGTGGACATAGGGACTTTAGCTTGGGAAGCATTTGTCACTGCCCTGCCAAGACAGAAACAGATGGAAGGCCTGATCAATCAGCAAAATGTGAGACAGGACAATCACCTGTAAGAAAAATGACTGAGAACTTTAAAGACAGAATGTCTTAAAAAATGAATGGGGTTAGTCTTACAAAGTTTCAAGAATAGCAAGTTGAAAGTAATGATGGTCCTGAGGCAGAACAAGATGTTGAAATTCCTATATTCTAAGATAACAGAAATTATATGTCATACTCTGCTCAAGAATATATAGTTATTGGCCTCAGCTTTCCGTGTCAGGGCCCTGGATTTTTTTTGCCCCATCCACTGAACAAGTTGGTTGATCCTTCACTAGACTCATAGTTTTATAGCTTGGCTCCTGTTTCCCCATAACCTGCATCCAGCCTCAATCACACATTCACCTGTGTAAACACATATGTGCACATACACATACTCTTAAAATGTCCTTTCTGGTGTTTCTTCACCTATTCATTTATTTTTCAAGATCCAGTGTAAATCTTGTCAAGAGATCTTTGTCGAGGCTCAGGTTTAAGTTATGATCCTGAAGCCAGTGTCATGGCTCAGTGGCTAAATCCTTGCTTTGTAGGGCTCAGGATCCCAGATGGATGCTGGTCCCTGTCCTGGCTGCTCCACTTCTGATCCAGTTCTCTGCTTGTGGCCTGGGAAAGTAATGGAAATTATCCCAAGGCCTTGGTACTCTAAATCACTGTGGGAGACCCAAAAGAAGTTCCTGGCTCCTGGCTTTGGATTGGCTCCTCTCCAGCTATTGTTGCCAGTTGGGGAGTGAACCAATGAATGGAATATCTTTTGGTATCTCTTTCTCTCTATAAATCTGCCTTTTCAGTAGAAATAAATCTTTTTTTTTTTTTTAAGTTTATGATCCTGTTCACTCCACACATTCTTCATTCTCTGGCCCTTGATTATTAAATGTGCTGTGTTACTTCCTAATACATTTGTTGTTGAATGAATGCTGTTCACACAGGGAAAGCAGCCAGAAGTCAGGGCCAGTGTTAAACGCTTCTTTTTCATTCCCAAGGTTGTACAAATTGTACTGTTTTAGAATGCTTAGTAGCATTCTACTGGTTAAGTTAAGCTCAGTATAATTTTGTGCACAGTATTTTTTTACATTCAAAGTTATTTAAGACAAAATTATGTATATAGCAACTTTCTACTAAGTAAAATATTCCATTAATTAGAATATTATTATTTTGTTTTTAACCATAATAAAAGAAAATTTACTGAATAGCAACCATTGCTCTAAAATTCAACAAAAAGAGAGACTTTTATTTTTGAATTTTACAAAAATGTTTTTCCTCATTAATTTCATTTTTGGGGTATTTTCTTATTTATAATTAAGATTTTGCACCACAAAGGGTCTGCCATTTTCTGGATGGGTGGGATAAAGAAGGTTGATATTGATTAAAGATTTGCAAGTCAAATTGACGTTAACATTCTGTCACCATCTGCAACAATACTGATTTTCATTTGATTAGGCTGCTAGCCAAACTACACATCAAGGCCAACAGCTGACAAACATGTTACTTCATTAAACCATTTGTTTAAAATCAGAGGGTTTAAGGAAAGCTTTAAAAGTTAAACTTGAACCATTTATTATGAGTCCAGTTGTTAGAAAGTTGCGCCTCTCAGTGTGATTTCATCATAGGTCATTTTATTCAGTTCCCAAGGTTATTTTCCTCAGTGACTGTAAAGTGGTCTTCTTTAAATAAGATAGACATTGTTACGTATGCACAGCTCCTGTCACTGTATTACAGGGTCTCTCAACCTCAGTAACACTGTGAGTCTAATTAACCCTTTGTTGAGTGCTGTCCTATGTGTGCACTGTAGTATGTTTAGCATCACCCACGCCTCTGTTCACTAGATGGCCATTCCCAACTGTTGTGACCATCAAAAACATAAGTTGTCCTGATCACTGGCAAATATTCCCCAGGGAACAAAACTGTCCTCAATTGAGAAGGATTCATTTACTTATTTTGTTTTTTACTGCATTATAAAAATGTATTGCCAAAATTTAGAGGCAATCACCAAGTTAATGGAATAAATATAGATTCAAACTAATTAGTTTTGAGCATTACTTCACTACATCATCTCATGTAGTTTATCTATGACTCAGTTTTCTTATCCATTAAATGGAAATAATAACTACACTAATGAGTAGATTAAAGATTTAAAGTTACTAAGTATAAGGTATAATACATCTTTCTGTTGGCACAAAGCAAAATTATGTTAAAAACCCATAGAAGTAGTAATAATACAGGCTGTGTTAATATCAAATACTGTTCTTTCATTTTCTAAAAAAAAAAAATACTGAAAATGCTCTAGTTAAGTAGTTTTCTCACATGCAAATTCCAGAAAGCAACAGGAAATTCAGTACATTTATTGGACACACAGATATCCATATGAAACACTAAGTATGTTACAGTTAGAAGGGATTTTAGTAGCTAAAGATAGGAATTTTTTAAAGTTAAGCTCATTCTAGTGTGAGAAAGAATTTTTATATACTAAAAGCCATGAGAAAAAACATTTCTCTACTTAGAATGCAGTAAAACATATTTTCCAAACCATACCTTGTGACTGGTGCCACATAATTGCCAGGGAAAACCCCTATCTTGCTGGTATGCATTGATGTCCCTTTGAACCAGCCATCCTGGCAACGTTCAAACACTAAAAACATCTCCCCTTTTCTCAGCTCTAGCTCATCCTCTTTCCGGGGAGTGTATGGATATATAGCAACATACCTAGAATAGGAAAGAATATTTGATTTCAGGCTGAGTAGTAGACAAATTTCAAGACGCTCAGAACTTTTTCTTGGTAAAAGTCATTAAGTATTTTGTGTAGTATAACCCTTGAGCCGATACATGCCATTGGCAATTCTGCACTGAGAGGGGTTTTGTTGTCTCTGAAATGCTTGCAGAGGCCTTCTTGATGAAGTATTGCTGAACCTGTCCCTCCTAGTGTGGATACAACAAACCTCCAAATGGTGTGTATGGTATGAAAGAATCAATCTTGCCTCCAAAAGGGCCTCACTTGCTGCTAGGGATTAGGTCCCCACTGGGAGCTCTATATATGGCACTTGTTAGACTTGGGATGTTGCCCTAAATGCACACATACGGGATGCAGCTCCATTGGGAAGCACAATATGCTGTCTTCCACACACCAGCTCAACCGAAAGGCTTGGGTAGCACCTGCTTTTATGTGCTCTGTCTGGAAGGAGAGTGGGTTTGAGAAAGCTGAAGGGAAAGAAACTTTAGATCACAGGGTGCAAACAGCTTTGCAAGACAAGGGTGTTGCCCTTATCAACATGTGGAAAGCAGGAAGGGAGCACTAACAGCTCTTTTCTGTGCTCTAGACTGGGCCACACAAATCCAGCTGTCATCAGTAAATTCTCAACAGGGCATCTCCTGGGTGTTTATGCCTGGGGACTTCACAGCTTTTTACATGTATGTGCCACCTGTTCCTGAGTGGTATAGAATCCTTCCAGTGTTCCAATGCAAGGAATTGAAAATGACAAGGAAAAACTTCCAATAGGAGTTGTAAAAAATTAACAAAAAAGTAAAGAAAGGTAAAACGGCAGTTCTATACACATTGTAAAGAAGCAAACAGTGCTTCCCTAAACTAGGAAAGGACTTCTCCCAGCAGGTTAACAAACTCATGGATTTGATACATTTTGTTTTAACAGTTCCCTAACTACCCATGTGGCCAGGTAGAAGTTTGCAAAATATAAACTGCTTGGTAAGCCATAAACTTGTTGTAACTCATATTAGAAAGGTCCTTCTCTATTACAGGTGTTTGGACTTAGTATTAAATGCCTGAGTGTAATAAATGACACCCTCACTTACACACTGGGACGAGTCTGAGGTCTTAAATGTGCAATCTGGTCAGTGGATCCTGCCACGGGCCTCGGTCCCATTCCAGCAGCAGCAGCAGCAGCAGCAGCAGCAGCAGTAGCAGTGCCTGGTGGTGTGGGAGCAACGACAGTGGCAGCCAGGAGAGGGGGTGGGGGCAGAGGAGGATTCATAGTCTGGTATAGGAACAGATAAAGGGGAGAGGGGAAGAACAAAATACTTATTTACATCTTCTGTGGAAGGAGGATGGGAAAAGGAATAAAAAATCCATAGAACAAGACTTTGATGGAATCCACACTGGGCAGAACAAGCAGGCTGCCTCCCATGAAAACCTCTTTTAAAAATTTATCACTTGTTCTCCTAAGATCTTAAAGCCACAGAAACCTTTTTAACAAACATGAAAGTAATCACTTTTGCAAGGAGGGAAAGAGAAAAACCGAAACCATTGCTTGTAATTTTAAGATTGATAGCACTTTTAAGTAGCGACTTGGACAAGAAATGCCTTTCTAGGCGACAGCTATAATGTCACACGACTTGCTAGGAATTAATTTGTGATTGTTTCTGTAACCTGAAACTCAAACACAACACCAAACAATTCAGCTGCACTATATCTCAAATCATTCCTTCAGAAGAGCATTCCCTTTGATGCCTGATCTCTGAAAAGCTCAAACAATAGCAAGCCACAGTCAGTGGCTATTGTTGCTACTTTTGCCTATTCTTTTTCTTAACTTCGCTAGCTTTTGAAATTTAGTACTATCAAGGCTGATAATCTTTAACAAGTATACCAGTGAAAAGCTGCTGGTTCCTTTATGGGCACAGTCTAATGGGGTTCTGCCTACAGGATTCCACGCCTTTTGAAAATCAATGGAGCAATTGTTACCTTCTGATCTATAAACCCCAGATTATTCTTCAGGGTCTGTGCACTGAAACTCCTGGGATAACAGGCACACAAAGACTGCATGCACTCCCATCCTGCCCCCTTCAAATCACTGTAGCACTAAATGTAAAAACTGAATCAAAGGGGACTAAAAATGCACCTCAGAAAGCGTAAATGGCTTGTACCCATCAGCATTATCAATCACGAAAAAAAATCCAATGATTTCAAAACATAGGCTATAACAACCATTTAATTCAATTTTTGGAATAACATTTGAATCTCATCAACATTTACCTCCTTTGTATGTTGTTCCAGAAACATAATATAGTAGAAAGTAAGTCCAGATTTCTAGATGTATACTGCAACTGCTTCACACACTTTTTCTTTCCCCAAAGTGAAGATTTTTTTTTCCCACACTGCAGCTGAGGTTGATATAGAACATTTGGTGCAGAAATAAATGAGGTGTAGAGCTGCACACAGAGTGCTCACCTGAACAAGGCAGGGGTCAGTTCAAAAGTTACAATGTCATGAAAAAGTTGCATTCTCTATATAAAACATGGCAGCATTAAGGTTTGTTATGTTTCTGGAATATGCAGGTACTGGGGCTTAAAGCCCCCCAAATCTTTAAGCAGGGGAAGGTCAAGCATTCATCCTGGTAGGCCTCCTTCTAGTACAGAGTAGAGAGAAATAATGATAATCCTGGTAAAATACTTAGTGAATGTGACCTGGAAGTTCATGGATAACACACCAGGGATTTCAGGGGTGAAATAACAAGAGTATATTATACATAGGTTAATACAGGGAGAAATTAAAATTACCAGTCAGTCCATTTCCATTTAGACCTTTCTACCCTGAAGCTCAAGAAGGTGTTACGGAAAGGCAGAAGATGAATGGCACATGTCCAACAAGGGAATTCAAATTGTCTATAATTTCTTAACTTTGTTAAAATGTAGGCTACATTAAATCTCTCCAAGAAGAAAAGAAGCCAAAAAAATCTATCAGCCTGTCAAAAAACAGTGTGTCATATTTTATTATCAAAATATAAAGTAATATCACTTATTATTATGACATAGGGCCAGCCAATATTTCAGGTGCATTACTTTTAGAAAGAGTGAAAGATAGGCATTGAGATATGACATAAAAGAGGATATTTAAGGAGGATATTTTGAAAGATTCCAATGGTTGTGCTTTAGAAAAAAATACTGCTTTGTATGTGTGTGTGATTGAAGCATAGATAGTTCAGGTAAGTAAATACACCTTGGAAGCATAGATGATCTTAATAAAACTGAGCAGATGCCCAGTGTGGGTATAAGTGCCGATCTGTGTGCTGGGTAGTTGTATGGGTCCATAAACATTCAGATAAAGACAAGAGAGAACATCTAATTAAAGTCAGATTCCTAGATGTTGCTCAGCCCTGTGTGGTTGGTAAAATGACAGGTTTCTGGTGAGTCCGGCCTGCGACACAATAGGAAGTTTTGTGGGTTGCTTTATAAACAATCTAAACTGAAATAATCTGAGGATGTGGAAGTTCAAAAGGTAGCACACTGTGTATTGTGCTCCAGGCAGTTGCCATCCTCCAAGACCCAACATTTCCACCGAGCAAACTACAGCCTTTCATTCACCCGAAGTCGACCTGTAGACCTGCCTATTATTTTGTGGTTTGGACTAGCCAAGACACCAGAGGCCATGATGCATATTCCACTACCAGCAAAATATATCTATGGAGCTACTAGAAACATAGGTCATACTTCAATAAATATATCTGATTCATTAAAAATAAGACTGGGGTAGACACTTGGCCAGTGGCTGGGATATCCTTGTCTTGGGCTGGATGCTTGCCTGGCTTCCTGCAGACCTTGAGAGGTGGTGGTGCTGGCTCACGCAGAAGACCTGTGCCTTGCCTCCTAATTTTTACCTTATCCAACCTCAGCCATTATGGACATCTGGGGAACAAACCAGTGGACAGGAACTCCATTTCTTAAAAAAAACAAAAACAAAAACAAACACATGCACAGACCCAAAAGGGACCTGCTAATATGAAATGGCTCAATTTACTGACATTCAGATTCTGTCTCTTTGACTCACAGTTTTATATCATAGGAGAACCAAGGGCTCTGGGGTCAGAAAAACACAATCTTGGCTAAGCTCTTAAGGCAGTTTCCAGTTCAAGTGAGTCCTAGGGGGAAGAAGCATTTTTCTGCTGAGTGAGCAGCATTCCAGGGCACATTTTCTACTGGACATCATAAATGACATTTCAAGCACATGAATATGAAAATCTTCCTTTCTGGTAGGCACTCTGTCTTTGTCCTACCTTTCCATGCAAGTAGCCTAGAGACTGCTTATACCTGGTAATGGTTAAGGACAGGGAAAAAGACCCAGTAGATGCTGCTCCAAGTTGATAGCATTTCAAGTACGCAGGATCACCAGTTTAAGCAGTGTTACCCTCTATGCACATAAATTTGTAGATTTATAATTGTATCTTTGATCCATAAAGGAGAAAAGAGTAGATATTTAGAGCAGTTAATTAACTGAAAATTATGTTAGGTCTCTATGCCTCACTAAACTGATCTGAGAGACAGAGTAATAGGAATGGTTTATGTAAGCTGCTTTCCTAGTGTTCTAAAACACAGCAGAAGCTCAATAAATGGAAACTACTGTCATGACTCATGAGTCAAAAGCTGAGTTACTTATTGCTATACCGTCGGCATCCTAGACTTGCAGCCAGCACATAAGAGATTCTCAATGCAAGTGTCATGAATGAGAAGACATTCTGCACTTCCTCCTTCCTCTTAGAACACTGACGGGGGTCAAGAAGCCTCAATTCCTGAGATGCTAGACTCCTTTTCTTCTGTTGTTGCTATGAAAGACCCCTGACAATTACAAAGGGCCTATGACTATGTCTTACTCTATCATGGTTGTTAGTTTCTACCTCACTATTTCCTGGGACTTTGTTTATTCTTGGTGATAGCAATAAATCCTGCTCAGCTTCCACAACAGGCTACAATGGGCTGCTAACATGCTCTCTACTTCCAGAACTTGACATCAATAAACTTTATTTCACATCCCCCTGCCACACACACAAATATGTGTGTATAGTATAGTTCAATTAGGGCTCCACATTTTTGAGACGCAGCACGTTTATAACTTGGCCACAGGTCATTTCTGGCCTTTCTTGGCAGAGCCACCTCTAACATCTTGCAGATGAACACCTTTCCATAGGTACACAGGATCAGGAGTTTCAAACCTCCTGATCTGAAAGCTCTTCTGGCGTTGTACGGAAGATGGAAGAATAAGATTTTCACCTTTATTCTCCCACATTTCTGAGTCAGAAAAAAAAAAAAAACCAACAACCCACTATTATGCTACATAAAATACTAAGAAGCCTTAGTTCATGAAGAAAACACTGGAAACAATTCATTTCCTACTCTAATGGTGATACTTACTGGCTATAAATCCATATCAGAAAAAGCTTCCCCCTCCCTTTTTTTTCCACCAAGCTGCACACTACTGCTGTGACAGCACTCAATGTCTTCAGGAATATTTCATATTCTAAATAGAACACTTGCCACAATTCATGGAAGATTCAGAGGACACGTGCTACTGAGGAGTCCCACCTAATCTTAACTGTATTAAATATAAAACATCTCTGCAAACCTACCAGGGACTCTGAGATTTAGATTCCTCCTGAGATGACAGACATGTCTGCCTACAGTTTTTCATTAAACAGAATTATCACAGTAGACATGCTTTTTAATAAATCTTTCACTTGCTTAATAGGCAAGCCTTTTCTTTAAAAAAATTAATAACCCTAGGACAAAATGGTTGGATGTAAATTAATCTTTGTATATGTATGCTCTCTTGTGACCTATTCCACTGATTTGTCCTGGAGTGAGCCTCCAGCTAAAAGCAATAGGCCATTTACAGTACTGTAAAATTTTTAGACCACAAGGACTGAAATTCAGTCAGCCTTAAGTCTTTTCTGCTAATTAATTTTTCTAAGATCAGAAAGATTAGCCCTTTTTTCTCCTTTAAGAAATTATTTTCAGATTTTTTTCCACGCAGGGCAGTCATGCAGAAATGGGGGTAGGAAGGAAAGGAGAAAGACTCCCTTAGAGATTAGGGAGCAGAATGGTTTGGAACGTGTCTCTGGTCAAACTTCCGGGGCTAAAAGAATCTCATGGAAACCATATTTCAGTAAAAGTTAACTGCAATTCATCTTTCTTCCCAAGATGAATCCAGGAGACTTCTGCCTCAACAAGCAGCTGTCCTACTGAGGGAATTGCAAATGTTCAGGGAACACTAACAAATGAAACAACTTCAACCTCTAACTAGAACATTGTTGGCTTTTATTTAAATACAAGGTCAGGCTTAACTTTACAAAGTTTGTGAACATCTAAATCAAGTTAGGCAATATAATTCTGCATTTATTTATATACAACTTGATTCAAAATCAGCTTTCAATTATTTATAGAAAGTATCAAGATAAAGACAAAATAAGAAAAATGAGGCAAATGGAAAATGAGGACAATAAAAATAGATAGAACCAAAATTCTGACTAATGTACTGTGAGATCTTTGCTGGAGGGACTGCAAATTTGGCTCAGAGCAGCCTAGCAGAGGGAAATATAATCTTTAATACAGCAAAAACAACAAACCAGCTGCTTAGAAGCCTCACTATCCTCACTATCTCTTGGCACAGAGAACACAGAGAACCACAACAAAATAAAGCAGGCCCTCCAAGGCATTCTTAATTACAGGCACACGTCACAGCACACAGCAGTCCTCAACAGAGGCCAATGAGATCAACCACAGCCATCTGCCCTTCAATGTTCTAGCCCTCTGAAGGAAGTACTAACAATCTCCTTTTAGAGCAAGGGACAGTGAGGCGGAAAGAAGCGGAGTTAACTTTCCTGTGGTCACATTAACAAGAAAATGGCTGAGTTGGACCTCAAACCCAGGTATGTTTCATCCAGGCCTGGATCCCATCAGCAAGTCAACCTGTTTCTTTGATACCATCATAACATACAGACACAAGCTGGGCAGGGTGATACTATGATTCAGGACCTGAGGGTAATCTGATCTAACAATCTCCTTTAACTCACAGCTTGAATAGTTTGAAGGCGTAAGCCAACATATAGTCCTGAATGAGAGATTTCATAACTGCTAGCCTCTTGTATTCAACTGCCTACAGTATTAGCAAAAAGGTCTTTAATGACTATGCTTTTTGCTACCTAAGGTTATATTTCCTGGTTGTATTTTCTTGTTTCTTCCAATTTTTTTTCTCCACATTGTTCCTCTTCTTCACATCTATTTCCCTTGGCTACCCTAATTCTTCGTGTTGTTTTCCCTTTTCGGATGTTTGAAAGCAACTGGTGTTTAGATTCTCTAGGCAAGAAACAGTGTTTCCTGGTGAAAAATAAACATAATTTAAGAGAACCTTCCAAGAGAACAGGATACCTTTAGGTTGCCACAGCCAAGTGTGATTCCAACAGAAAGATAAGCTAAGTGTAGAGATCTGGTGTCAATTGTGTTTGACTCAAAGCAAACTATTTAGCCTTTGGGATTTATTTCCTCAGTATTTTTACAAATGTATCTTTATAAGAAATAACTGGGAGCACGGCGCGATAACGTAGCAGTTAAAGTCCTCACCTTGAACACACCAGGATTCCATATGGGTGCCAATTCTAACCCTGGCGGCCTCGTTTCCCATCCAGCTCCCTGCCTATGGCCTGGGAAAGCAGTTGAGGACAACGCAAAGCTTTGGGACCCTGCACCTGTGTGGAGACCTGGAAGAAGTTCCTGGCTCCTGGCTTTGGATTGGCTCAGCTCCAGCCGTTGCAGCCGCTTTGGGAGTGAACCAGCAGACAAAAGATATTCCTCTCTGTCTCTCTTCCTCTCTGTATATCTGCCTTTCCAATAAAAATAAATAAATCTTTTTTTAAAAGAAATAATCGGGATTTAGAAATGCAGAAGAAATAAATGTTAAGTCTTCAGGAAATCAAGTTGATCCTTAATGCACATTAAATGTATTCCTGAGTTCTAATAGCTTCAGGCCACTAATCTTCACTGTATAAATTTGTGCAGGCTGCAGGCAGCAGACTTTCAAATTTTCTGTCAAGATCATCCGAGATAAGAGATGAAAGATAGAGATCCACTCCACCTAGTAATTATCAATGTGAACTGCAGGTGGTGGAAGGTAAAGCATGCCAGATTAATGATGAAATACTTAAAAGACAAGTAAAGATGAGAGAAACTATACTCACTCCAAGGGCGGCTTGATAGGGCGCATCTGATGGGAAAGTGAACGAGGGGCCAGTTGTCACTGGGCTGCTTGGGGGTGGGGTCACAATTAACCCGGTAGTACTTATATGAACCTGTCAAGAAAAAAAAAGTTATTAAAAAGATGACAGAATTTTACTAAAACAGCTTATGCCAGCTAAGCCTTGGGAAGGCAAGTGACATAAAACTAGCTTCTGTTATTTTGGGAAGGCTGACTCCCTTACCATTTATTGAACCCAAATTCACCGGCTACTTAATTTGTACCACACATGGCGTATCTTCAGGGGTAAATCATGTAATTTTGCCTGCAGAATTCACGTGCTACTGGTTTCCACAGAAACACATTGCCTCATTTTGTATGCTACCATGAATCTAAAGCTTTTTTGGGTGGAAGCCTGGCGCTTATCCAGCCTACTGACCAATTCCTTGAAGATCCTGTAAAACTGTGCTATGGCTGAATGCTTACCCATGTATCAATATGTTTAAATCTCTGTAAAGTTCTTAAGCTTACTACTTTTAGGACCCTTTTTCATAACTTTCTCCTTTTAATGTGGAATACATAATCAAAATGCAGCTGCCTACACATACCCATACCAGGCCATTATTTATAAAACCCTTAAAGGAACAACGGCAGACTAAATCAGCTGATGTTAAAACTGTCTTATACATGATACCACCTAACATAAATTTAGTAGAAAGAAAATGAGTTATCCAGGTCTTTGCATTGCCTGTGCTCAATTAATCAATTTCACCGAGTTCGCATACCAGGTCCAACTGCAGAATGCAGTAGTGTTCCTTGTACAGTGTGGATTATCTTCCACTGTGATCAGAAGCCAAAAACAATGATATACTGAAAAACACATAATTTTTTTTAATGATAACAATGTAATATCAAGTAAAGTCTCCTCAATTCCTATAAATTAAGAAAAAAGATTATTATGACAAAGAAAAACTCAATGACTGGCTTCCAGAGGGCCTAAAGAAAACTTTTCAATATCCCACTGAGGTAGACTCTACAAAGGCCAGGGATAATCAGTATCACATTAAAAAAAAAAAACCCTGTTTTCATACACCTGTATGATACATGGAATGTCACATCTTGTAAAGCACATGTGTATGTGTTAATCCATACACTGAACAAATGTAACCCTAAGTCTAAGTGGATCCCATGGGCACCGTTAATAAGTTTCTTCCCAAATCTATATTTTCTACTTCTCTTGTGATTAAAATTCAGTTTCTACTGGGAAACAAAAAGTTTTTCATTCTAGGATAAGCCCAAGTTTTTTAGTTATGTTGCCCAATAAAGGGCAAATGTCAAAGGACATTTGTAACTCGGCATCACACAGAAGAGAAGATCTTCTTTTATAAGGTACAGCCAAGTTCCTCTCAAAGTAGACATCATCAAGGAAACTTCTGGGCAGAGAAAAACAACTTACCCAAAATACAGCTTCCTAGGTCCCATCCCTAAGAATACCTGAGATCCTTTGATTGGCTGATATTTTTCTAAAAGCTCCAAAATGGGAGTCAGATAAATGAGCTACTAATGGCCTGAAACCTCAGGATAAGCTATTTCCTATTTCTGGACTCCTGTGAGGAGTAAGAAGAGAGGCTCCCTAGACATTGGACCAAAACATGGGACTAGAAGAATCCTGTAAGCACAACTTGAACGTAAAACTGCACACAGTATGGGGGCAAAGGAAGAGATGAAGTCACCAAAGACAGAGAGAAAGCAGAATGAGGGGCAGGAGCAAACCAGCCCAGACCAAAGACACCTGAATTTCTGCTGAGTTCATCTTTATCTCATTGGACTGCAAAGGGTTAAATGGAGAGCAAGAAAGCTAAAGGGCATGGCTGGGCCTTCCTCTCTCTAAGGCCAATGGCCACAGAAACACCTACTATGAATCATTCTTCCAGCTGCCAGAGGCCAAAAAATACCAGAGGTGTGGTCAAAGGAGCAGACAAAATGTCTTGGTTGCTTGCACAATCATGTGCTTTTACAGATGTAAATCACACACATCCATGCACACTGCCCTGATCCACCCAGGCAGCATGGCCTATCACCAATCTTCCAATTTCTGTATCTGAATGTTCAGTTACCCCCAATAATCACTATCACCATGAGGAAGCCCACTGCTCCTTTCTGCTGTACCATCCCACTTTCTGAAACCTGGATGTGACAGTGAGCTCTGTAACAGCCACACGAAAGCAGGAGGTAAGGACCTGCTCATAAGGTGGGAAGGTGAGCTGGAAGAGACTTGAATTCTTGACCACCCCATGATGCCATCATACCACAGGCAACTGCCTAATGCAGATTTCATGCAGATGAGAAAAAAATGAATTACAACTTCTTTAAGCCTCCTATTTTTAACTTTTTAATAAATGCACATAAAATCAATCCTAATTTAAGAGAACATTAGCTATTTCATGGATAAACATGTTGGTGTTAAAAAATTTTTTTGAAATTTATGAACACAAGTATATGAAGAGGAAAAAACTAAAGGAAAGAAAATTGAAGGCAAAGGTGAATGTGAGTCCGGGAAAAGAAGATGGAAATGAAGCCAACCACAGCAAGGGACTTCTCTGGAATCTACCGATAGATGAGCACTTTATCCATCCGGACAGGGCAAAGGGAGGAGGAGGAGCCTCTTTCACTCTCACATGAGTCATTTTCCTGTATTCACTGAACTTCATGGTTAGGAGAACATTTGTATATCACTTCACCACATGTACTCAATACTTTGTTGTTGACTATCGTTCTTCCCAATGCACAAAGTGTTTTCAGTACACCAAGGGTGGAGAAAGCAAGCAGGGCTTCCAATACTCCCCATTCTCTCCTAAAAATACCTTCCTAAGGCAACACGTTATCATTAAAAATAGAACGAACTGGAATAAAGGAGGAAAGGTGGAATATTTGAAGGGTTAATTGTTTTTAATGGAACACAGAAAGAGCCTCGTGTCCTAGGCTACTCAAACCCAAACAAAAATAGCTCTATTGTTACAGTCTTCGTCCCAGCTCTGGTGTGGCAACAGCAGACATGCTCACACCAAACAACTCTACAGAAAATACAAAAGTCCCCTTTATCTTCTTTTCTCTCTTAAACTTCTCCACAGCTAAGAGATTGCTGCCATTTCCATCCTTTCATCATTCTTAGCACATGTTGGTCTTTCTTTCCAAGAAATCACAGTAGAAATGTAGCTAGGTCATATGGAATGGGCATCTTTACCAGTAGTCAAAAACGTACCGAACTTTTCCAGGTTTGCTGCACTTGGCATTTCTTACTCTGATCCGTAACACATACCTATCTTTCATATGGGCACGACTAGCTACATGCAAAATAACAGAACTCCCATCTGATTTCACATTTCTGGTGACCCAGTCATTCGAAAAATATTTATTGAGTACTTACTGATTTCTCCCATTATTCTCAGTGAATCAAGACCTCCATTCTCCCTGTACTCACAACCTAATCAGTGTGTGTGTGTGCTATTTTCCTTAGTAAGATCAAAAGTTTCACAGCCACACCTCCTGAAAAACCACAATGCTATTCAGAAATTGAATGCATTTAACTCACAGCTAGAAGTAGGAATCTGGTAGAGCAAGGTCAAGCAAGTGAGACTGAGAAAAAAATAACTTTTAATAGAGCTGGATTCCTACGCTTCTGGTTGGCCAAGGCCATGTGTGTCCTCTTTCTTTCCTTTCCTCCCTTTTTCTCTCCTCTCAGGGAAAAGAATCCCATGTATCCTCCCTTCCTCCCTCTTTCTCTCCCCTTTCTCTTTTCCTCTCTCACTATCCCCACTTTCCTTTCTTCAAGAGAAATAATTTATTTCATTTAAAGAAACAGAACCTCCACAACTATACTGTGAAGCAGAATATAAAATTTGTATGCACATTAAAAATTTAACATGTGACACCAAAGAAACTTCTCCCAGTTGTGTCAGCACCTTTGGATTAGGATCTGTGACCTTTAAGGTGATGAATTCAGCTGTTACCTAAGTATAACAGCAGCCATGTGACTTGGATAGGGCCACCATTAAGCTCAGTTTACAGCTGAGAATGAAGGACTGTGGTATATGCAGCACAGTAAGATAATGAGTGAGTATTTTTAAAAATGAGTTAATGAGGGCCCGGCGCGGTGGCGCAAGTGGTTAAAGGTCCTCGCCTTGCACGCCCGGGATCCCATATGGGCGCCGGTTCTAATCCCGGCAGCCCCACTTCCCTTCCAGCTCCCTGCCTGTGGCCCGGGAAAGCAGTCGAGGACGGCCCAAAGCTTTGGGAACCTGCACCCGCGGGGGAGACCCAGAAGAGGCTCCTGGCTTCGGATCAGCATAGTATCGGCCCGTTGCGCTCACTTGGGGAGTGAATCATCGGACAGAAGATCTTCCTCTCTGTCTCTCCTCTCTGTATATCCACCTTTCCAATGAAAAAATAATAAAAATAAATCTTTAAAAAAAAAATGAGTTAATGAGAGGCTGGCATGGATGCATAGCAGCTAAACCCACTACCTGAGGCCCTGGTTTTCCAAAACGACACTGGTTTGAGGCCTAGCTTCTCTACTTCTGATCCAGCTCTTGCTAATGTGCCTGGGAAAGCAACGGAGGATGGCCCAAATCTTTTGGCCCTTGCCCACCCATGTGGAAGACCCAGAAGAAATTTCTGGCTCCCAGCTTTGGATTGTTCCAGCTCTGGCTGTTGCTGGCGTTTGGGGAGTGAACCAGTGGATAGAAGACCCCTCCCTCCCTTCTTCTTTCCTCTCACTCTCTCTCTGCTTCTCCTACTCTCTCTCTCTGTAAATCTGTCATCCAAATACATAAAAAATGTAACAATTTAAAAAATAACGATGTTTTCAATTGTCTTACGTATTTTAACACAAGAATAACCTATCATTATTTCTAAGACAGTCCAGTCTTGATGAATTAATGAGTTTTTAAACACAAAAGTGAATCCAATTTCTAACAACCATTTTTTTCATCCTTTCTCTTCTTTCTCTTAAACTCTGAGGAGCCTAAACATCAAGGTAGGTTACATCGATGTAGGCAGCTACAACCTGATAAATTTCAACCACAGTGCCTTAAGTTTGGGTAGAGATAACATTTTCATTGGCAAGATTTGTCAAAGCAGCTTGGCAATACAGCTCTGTAAACTGGAGTGACTGCTTGCTGTACTATCAGTAGTGGTGATAAATAGTGCTGAAGTCATCTTGTAAGTTCTGATCTTTCCTCTGAAGATGACCAAGAGTCCATACTAGGTTGAAACTGTCACACTGTCTTTCCGTTTTCCATTTTCCCACCCATAAAGTACATGCAATCTCTGCTTCCCAGAAAACCTACCATCCTGAAGCTAACATACACTGTATTTTTCACCAAGCGGACAGACGTGAAGGAGATTCCTGTGCAGCAGACACCTTGTATGAGGGTTTACCTGAGAAGGGGCACTGCAGGAAAGCCCGGAGAGCTCGCTGATCCGTGCCGCGGCTGTGGGATTGCTGGAGCTGATGAGGACCGGGGGGCTGATCTCCATGGAGTGGCGATGCTGAGATGCCTGCGAGGACTTGTTGGCCATGGTCAGAGAAGTGAAGGAGTGTCGCTTTTTGGTGTTCTTCTTGGTGTCAGAGTGCTTTGGGGCAGAGTTGCTCTGAGCTGCTGCCGAGGTACATTCTCCAGCCTCGACTCCCGGCACAGGAGGCTTATCCCATTCTATCAGCTGCTTGGCAGCTGAATTAAACTGTGTAAAGGCAAACAAGAAACCAACACCAGAAGGTTAGATAGCTCTCAAGGATTTACTCAAGTCCATTACCAGGAGTCTATCTAAAATTTAAAGTCATTGCTTCAAAGACGGCATATGTAAATATGTTTTCTTCATATGAAGTATCTTTTTGCTCAATACTAAAATTTCATCATATCTATGTCAATACATAAGTTCCAGGGGTCTCCTGACCCTGTATACCTGGTATGAGCACTGGTTCCAGTTCTAGCTGTTTCTACTCTGGTCCAACTTCCTACTAATGGATTAGGAACAGCAGTGGAAGATGACTCCAGGGCTTGAGCTCCTGCCACCCATGTGGGAAACCCAGAAGAAACTCCTTGCTGTTGAGTACAGCCTGGCCCAGCCTTGGCTCTTGTGGCCATTTGGAGAGTGAGCCAGCACATGGAAAATTGTTCTCTGTGTCTCTCCCTTTCTTTCTTTCTCTCTCTCCCTCTGTACCTCTGATCTTCTAATAAAAAATTCTGCTGGTATGGTGGCTCAGTGAGTTAAGCTTCCACTTGTAATCCATATTGGAGAGCTACTTCAAGTCCTGATTTAGCTTCCTTGTGGTGAGCCAGGGAGGATAGTGGATGATAACCCAAATACTTGGGTCCCTGTAGGTCATGTGGGAGACCCGGATGGAATTCTTTATTCTTGGGTTAAGCTTGCCCAAATATAGCTGTTGCAGTTTTTTAGGGAGTAAGCCAGAGAATGGACGGTTCCTCCCTCTCAGGTTCTCTGCCTTTCAAGTAAATATATAAACAAAATAAAATCTTATAAATAATTCCAATATAAAATTTAAAAGGAACATTATTTTTGCTAAAAATGCTTCAGAATTTCTACTTTAATACTTGCCACTTAGCTACTTACAAGTGAAGACTGCTAGAGCTCACTGACCAAATTTAGAAAACAAGCAAAAGTCTGATCTGTCTTTCCCAGAAAAGAAAATTTTTTAAAAGAAAAGTTCTAGTGCAAAGCAGGAATATGTATGAGGGGTCAAATCTGTACACAGCACTGATAATATCAGGAGAAAAGGAAAGAACACACATGTTTTGTTTTTCTTGAGGTAAAGTAAAATATTTGGAAACTCAAATGATAACATGCTGCATAGAGCTTACTAGATATTACAGTCATGGGAAAACACTGAAGACATAATTTAAGCTCTCCAAAAATTGAGATGACAAACAACAACCTTTTAACAGTAATTTACATAATATTTTAAAAAGCAGAGATTTTTCCATCTCAGCACTACAGATTCCGCACTGCAACAAATGTCTTCATATAAAATAACATCATCTTATGTTTTTCCTGCCCCTCTAAGTTGTTTGCAAGAGAATGGACATTCTTCTCGTCAATATTTAAGATAAGCTTGCTCTGGCACAGGACTCCTTGCAGCGCTGTAATAATTGCCACTAGGCAGCCAGTGCTTCTACAGATGATTGCAAATCGACTGCCAATTGGATTCTGTGGTTCCCTGGGGACCCAAAATCAGGTGACCTGCCTGAGCTGTAATTAGGATACAACTTTTACAAACATGAGTAAATCTATTTTTCTGACTTAAAAGTTTTTTCATGTAGTAAACTTTCAAGGCTAATAGGTACTAATGCCAGAATAACACCACCTATCATGACCTGAAAAACCAACATTAGAACAATGATCATAAAGACTTGTGGTACATGATTAGGGTGAAGGAATGAGATGTTATTAAAGGGTCTTCTATTACAACATGATAGCGGCATTTGGCCAGGTACCCCAGAATTTAAAAATTCTACTTTGATCCAGTTATGCCATCTTGTGGGTGTTCCTCAGGAAAAATCAAGTGCCCCAAAAAAGCAAAGTAATGTTTTATTATTATCGCAGAGATGGTCCCACATATAGAGCTCTAATAAACTGCATATGACATTCATACATAGTTTGGATGTAAGGATCTGTAAATGAAACAGACAGAGAGCTAATTTCTTCCATCCCAAACTCAACACCCTCATGAAATGAAAAATGCCAGAGGAAAGACAGCCACGATATGCTTACACTCCAAGACACCAATCCTCAAAAGCCCCTGACCAATCAACACAGCATTCCTGTGCCATTGAGTAAGAAGTAGGGGAAAGGGTTGTAAAGAACTCATTGAGGCAAAAACTATGAACTGTAGAAACTATCACGTCTACTTGATAGCCTGTTTTACCTAATGCTGGGGTCAAACCAGAGGCTCTATTAGCTGTGCTTATTTTGAAATATTGTGAAACATGACGATGGTCTCCAAGTCATACCTAGCCAAGTGTCAATTACAGTTAACATAATGTTAACATTTCACTTGTCCAAATGGGGTGCTGTGGTAAAAACAACTGAAAATTGAAGAATTATCCCCTATGTTTCTGGGTTTTTTTTATCATTAGAAAAATGTTGAGTACTCCCTTTGTCTCTTCCCCTGCATTGAAAACTCTCATTAAAATAAACGTACCTTAAGCGTCTATTATATGCTGGAAAACACAGTATATGCTGGAAATCCTCAGCTGCAGAGAAATGGTCTCTGCCTTCCAGGACCTTATCAATGGTCATAAAAATACAAGTATTTTTTATAATTTCTTATAAAAGATTTATTGATGTGTAAGAGTATGAGTGTAAGAGAAAGCTCTTCCATCACTGGTTCACTTCTCAAATGACTGGACTGCAGCAGATTAGGTTGAGTCAGGCCAAGGCCAGGAGCCAACAACTCTGCCATGTGGGTAGCAGAGACATAAGTACTTGGGCTATCATCTGCTCGGATGGAAAGCAAAGCAGCTGGGACTCAACAAGAACTCTAGTATGGAATGTAGGAGTCCAAGGTGGCAACTTATCACACTAAACCATAGTGCTCAGTCCTACATTTTCTTCTCTTTGGCTACTTTTGCTCAAAAATATGCTTTTTGAAAGACTGATCCTTGTGACTTCAAGAATCATTAATTTTTCTTTTAAAAATTTTCATTTAAAAACGTTCAATTAATTTATTTGTGAGGCATAGAAACAGAAAGAGATCTCCCATCTGCTGCTTTACTTTACCAATACCTGCAGTGGTCACAACAAGGATAGGCTGAGACTCAGAGCTGAGAACCCAATCTAGGTCTCCTATATGGATGGAGACTATTACTTTAGCCACCAGCCATTACCTCCCAGGATGCATATTAGCAAGAAACTATAACCATGAGCAGAGCAGGACCCAAATCTAGTTACTCTGATACAGGATGTGCAAGTTTCTTTAACTTTAGCCAAACACTTGCCCTAAATAGCTTTCTTTATTTCTTAAAAAAAAAAAAAATCATTTTCTGTTTGAAGGGTGGAGTTAGAAAGGGAGAGACAAAAAACTCATTGGTTTACTCCCCAAATAATTTCAACAGCCAAGGCTGGGCCAGTCAGTAACAGGGAGCTAGAACTCTGTCTGGGTTTCCCATATGTATGGGTGACAGGGGCCCAAGTTTTTGAGGGCTTCTTTTTCTGGCTGATTCCTTAGTGCATTCGCTTGAATTTGTTTCAGAAGCAGAGCAGCCAGGACTTCTACTGGTGTTCAATAGGGGATTTCAGTGCTTTGGGTGGCTTTACCTGAGCTACCACAAAACAAAGCCCACTTCTTTCTTTTTAAATTGTTGTATAATATTCCATTGTGTGAATGTATTTTATGTTCCCTATGTTCCTTCACATCCTAATATATTTTGGCTAGGAAGAACAATGTTATAATGAACTATGTAGTACATGATTTTTTGGTACACATAAATACTAATTTGGATGTCAAGTATATGTCCCAAGTAGAAGTGATGGATCATAGAGTTGGTCGCATATTATCACATGAAGCTGCATGTATGAGTTTATGCAGGGGCACATGTCATGGTGTGGTAGAACTAGAAAATTGGTGGACAGAAGTTCACAGTTCTAGCTACAGCACAGACATAACTCTGTGACCATAAAGGAGCCATTTCACTTCTACTAAACACAGCTGCAACTATGAAATGAAGTCAGTCATAGATGACAATTTTTATGGCTCTTTTAGCTCACCATACATACAATGCATAAGCTCATTTTACCCAGACATGGTTCATCTTTCTATTTCATTTTTTTCTATTTTTTGAGATTTATTTATTTAATTAGTTTTAAAAATAATCTTACTTAGTTGATTAGGGTACAAGGGTTAAGGGTAACAGGATCAAAGTGGTTAAGACCATTGTTTCCACACTAATATCATTTTTCCCCCTGTATCTGAGGTCAGGGGAGAAACAAAGGGAAAGCCCCACCCAGCCTCCCAACCACCCCAGACCCCCAATGTGAGGCACGCTCTGAGGGTCCTGTTCAAGCAGTTTTCAAAGTTCAACAGTTCTGGATTGCTGTCAATATCGCTGTTCCAATCGCAATGAAATCTATTCAGAGTCCAGTGGCTGACATAGCCTCTTCATGGTTGGGGTTCTGAGATCAGCAGTTCAGTTGGAGGGATCTCCAAAGAAACTTCATCTGAGATGATCCCAAACCTGATTCTTGTGTGTGCTTGCCAGTACAGGATCCAGCACCATCCATTACCCCAATCAGCTTATGCACATGCTGGTCATTGCTATTGCCGGGTCAATTCTGTTTCCAGCCCTGTCTTCCACACAAACTAATGGATGTTGTAATCCAGCTTGATCCTACCCATTTCATACCTGGTCCTCAAGCAAATCAGTTGGAGCTGCAGCCTAGTTGGGGCAACTTCCTATAACCCCAACCAGACCTGCCCTCTACCCTGGTTCCCATGCTTCCCAGTATGTACCGCAGGCTTGTTCAGTCTGTCCCACATCCCATATAGCTCTCATACATGTAAATGGGCATTGAAGCCTGGTTCAACCAGCCCTATTTTCCAGCCCACACATATATTGGTGGGTGTTGTTCTGTCCATCCATGTCTGCCCCAGTCCTGATTTTGTGCTGTCCAGTGACAGTGGTAACCCAAGAGGGAGGTGCCCACTACTTCCCTCTTAGGCCACT